GTCATTATTCCAAACAATTGTCTTTATTCCAGGAGGAAAATCAAGAACACATTTCAAATTCTTTCTACAGAATTTCAGAAACTTAAATACAATTCTTCTAGGTAGTAAGTCATAACTCTCTCTATCCCTAGGATTTGGACCTTCAGTGGGTGCTGTGACAGACACAGGGGAGATGAATCAGATGTGAACCATGCCCTCCAGGTATTTATGGTCAAGTAGAGGAGATAAGCAATGTAAATAGATAACAATAATACAAAGTAGAATGTGATAAATACCACCAGAAGGGCTGAGATAAAGTGCAGCTCTGAAAAAAGGAAGTACACTGAGAAGTGATAATTGAAGCTATGAGGAGAGGGGGGTGGTGGGTGGGGGGAGAGAGAGAGGGAGGAAAGGAAGGGAGGGAGGAAAGGAGGAAGGAAGGGGCTAAGGACAGAATCCTGGGAAAATTTAGAACGAGTAGGAGTGGGGTAGAGGAGGAAGGTCTTTCAAGGAGAACGTGGGCAAGAGACTGGTCAATTTAAAATGGGAGGCACTTGTAGGCTCCGGCTGCTGCCTGGAAGGGCCAGGAGACTACCCTAATGCGCTGTGAGTTAATGCGCATAGGGCTCACCCTTCTCCCCACCAGGGATCAGCAGTGAGGGATTTGGCAAATGAGAAGCCATTGTCCCCTTGGAGACACAAAAGTGGGATGGAGAACTCAGCACTAGGCCCAGAAGATTGTGCGATGTGTGTAATGGGCTCCCATAGGTTTCTTTCTCAAGTCTCTAGTATCCTGGCAAATAGTTTTTGTGCTTTTTGTTTGTTTTTTAAGAAAACAGAGACAGTAGATTAAAGAGTGGAATTGGGGGGGTTGTTTTTCGCATTATGAAAAGACTTCAGCTATGTATGTTCTGAAGATATAAGAGTTAAAACAAAAATGTCCCTGCTCTGATGTCCAGTAAAGGATGGAGACAAGCTGATGAGCCTTTGAGACTTGGGGCGGCACGCTCCTGTGGGGTCACAGAACCACCACTCTGCAGAATCAGGGAGACTTCATGGAAGGAATAAATGGCTTTGAAGTGAAGAAAGGGATGGTGGGCTGCAGGGAGGTTAGACAGCAGGAACACGGTGGTGGAATCAATTGGTCCTGTTTCATAAGCATATTGAGGATGCCGGCCCCTGGACAGCAGGAATGCCAACAGCAAATGGTAGTATTTCTCCTGGGTTAAGGTTTGGCAAAGCTGAAGTGAAAGAAGGGCACAGTGACCTAAGGTTCTGGCTTCAGAAATTGAAATGGCTTCTCACGAGGTCAGTCTGGTAAGATAAATAAGCATGCAGACAAATGAAAGAAGACAAGAGAGAAGGGAGCAGAACCAGAGAGACAGGGAGAAAAAACTGGGAACGAGGATGGTGGATGTGCCCCTCTCGTGTCCTCAGAAGAGCTTGTTCTGGTGACACAACGGAGAGAGCTCAGCTTGTCCCCGGGGTGCTCTGAGCTGGGCTCAAATGTTGTGAGCACAAAGGCTGATCTAATGGGGCAGCCAAGCGCAAGGGCAACTACAGAGTCTCCTGTGAGGGCATTTATCCCCAAAGAATAGTATTCCATCTAGATGAACGTGAACCAGAACTCAGTTAGGCAGGGCCTTGGGAGTCTGAGCTCAGGGGAAGCAATCTGTTCCCAGCTTAGTCCCTTAGATGCATGTCCATGTGAGAAAGAAAGTACGAGAAACAGATTTCTCTAAAAAACCAAGGCTGCTTAAGGGCTTCTTAACACAAAGATGGGCATTTTACTCTCCACATCTCCACAAGCCATCTCTGAGCTTTGACACCATGAGAGCGCTAGCGCTCTGGTGACAGTGCTTGGTGGGGACCATGACACCCAGTGGAGCAGAGGTACACCCAGTACTAGAGGATTTATTCATGAACACGGGTCCTGCACTACCAGTGGGCCCAGAGAAACCTTGCAGAGGGGGCCTGGAGGTTGCGCTCTGTTCCTCAGTCAGTGGCCGGGAAAGGCCAGTGAATTCTGGCTTCTCACCATCTCCGTAGAGGCAGAAGCCAAGATTTTAGGCTCTGGAATTAGATTGATTGGCTCTGTGACTTATAAGCTCTGTAAACTGGATCATGTTATTTAACCCTTTGAGCTTGCTTCCTCAGGTACACTTACCTTTATGGGTCAACGTAGTAAATGAGGAATTTCATGTACACCTTTAACAGGTGGCGCAGTCAGACCACACACGCGACTCCCTCTGCCTGAAGGTGCGTCGTCCTTACTTCTTGCTGTTACTCATCTTAAGTTTAAATGTCATTTATTTCAGAGGCGTCATCCCTGAGCTCCTGTAGCAGACTCTGGATTGGCTACCCAGCATCCACTGCCACCTTCTCCTTTTTTGTTTAAGTATCGACTCCTCAAAGAATGCAATCCTGAAAAATTCAAGGGCAAATCCTGAAGAGCCTTGACCAATTACGGTAATCCTCAACTCCCCGCCTCCGCAGCCCTCCTTCCCAGCATTTAGACATGCGTGGGTATGTGACTTAGTTTGGACTGATGACGGGTGAGAAGTCTGCTAGAAGCTTCTGAGAAAGATTTCCCCACTCTGGAAAAAGGACATACTCTGCTACCATGGGGCACTGTCAGGATTGTCTGTCCTATAGGGAGCTGCTCTGCCTTCCTGGGACCATGGGTGGGGCAGACCCTGTACCATGCTGGCATGCTGGAGATGGCAGGGGGAATAACGGAACCGGCTCTGGGCCTTCCCTGACAGCACTGAGCTGCTGAATTCACTAGATAGAGCCTCTTGACCTTGGGACTTCTTGCCATATGAAACAATAAATTTCCTTATCATTGAAGACATTTTAAATTGGGTTACTTATTAATTGTAGCCTCCCTCATCTAAATTATGACACCATCATTTTTGCTCTCATATCATATTTTCCTTCATAGCATTTATCACATATATAGTTACTTTTGTGTTTAGTTGATTGATGTCTGTTTCCCCCAACGGATTCTAAAGTGCCGAGATCACATGTTGACTTTGCTCACCATTAAATTCCCAGATTTTACCACCAGGCCTAAGGCATAGAAGCTGCTCAAGCACATTTGTGGGAAGAATGAATAAAGAGCTCAAACATGGTCCCTTTTCTTCTCCTCTTTCTCACCCTCCTCCTTGTTCTCTATAACTCTGCCCTGTTGCCAGAGCACAGGATCCCTAGGAAGGAACCTAAGTTCTCCCTCAAACTCTGACTCTGGGCAGCAGCCTGCACTACATCAGTGCCTTTCGAGTTTTACCTCAAGGAACAGTAAGAAAATACATATTACACGGTTGACCCAGTACACACACATTTACCTATTTAACCGAAGAGAAAGGTTTATAGAGCATATTTACTTGTACTATGTGTAAATGTCTCTGACATTTTTATCCTATTCTATTTCATTAGAAAAATGCAAGTTCTGGCCCAATACATCAATTTTTGGACCCATTAATTAGTTACCCACAGCACCACCCCCATGTACTAAATTAAATGTAAGGACTTTGAAAATCTCTGATTTTCTCTTTTTTTTGTTGCTTAACTGTCCATAAGGCCATTGACTTAAATGTCCATTATTACAGTGACTTAACAATGACTTAATTATTTTCCCTTTTCCTGTGGAATTCTTCTCCATCCCCATCTCCTCTAGTTGGGCTATTTCGAAGGCCTGCGTAAAATGGAAAGACTCTCTCATGTGTTCATGAAAAAGTACTTTGTACTTTTGCCGATTTTTTTCCAGTTAGCACACACACACAAAAACCAGGACTACATTTTCCCTTCTTTGAAATTTAATGGCCCTATTCAACATATTTTACGTGGGCCTAACTTCTATGTAAGTTTATATATGTACTAGTGCAGACCGGCGTTACATGAGTCCCACTGCCACCCTGTGGTTTAAAACCCAAGGGAGCTGGGTTCTAACATTCTCTAGAGGCACAGTGAATAGACCCTCACTGTAGTTCCCATTCCTCCGCACAGAAACTGCCTTTGTCTTCCGAGGATTTACCAGTGAAATTCCTCTGGAGGCAGGAGAAAAGGGGACAAGCCACACGGAGATCTCACAACTCCAGGGCACAGCAAATAATGCGGTGGGGTATATATATATTTAGAAAACCATAATGCGAGCCTCAGGAAAAAACATGTAATCAAAAGGCGACGGGGAGAGGATTACCAGCTTGGGTGATCAAGAAAGCTCCCTGCCAGAGGACCTACAGATTCCGAAGGTCCCTTGAAACTCGGTTCAAACCACTGCCCCCAGCATCATGTGAACTGGCAAACTCGATGCAAGTTATGGCTCCAGAGTCCGGGAAGAGCGCGTCGCCAAGCTGCTCCAGGGTCACATGTCTTCTAGAAGGGGACCGGTGTGACAGAGGAGAGCACGTCCGGGGTACGTGCGCCTGTTTGCGCTCTGGGAGTGAAGGCGAGGCGGGAGAGAGCCTGCAGTGAAAACGGACCTGGGGGCGGGGGCGGGGGGAGAGAAGGAGGGGAAGGAAAAGACGAACACCTCCCTGAACTTTCCTCTAGCCTCGTCCCACACACTTGAAATAGAAACAATAACATGAAAAAAAAAATGCTTACAACCACGACGCTATCTCCCTACTTAAGTTCTCTCACTCTGGGCGATGCTGTTGCCGCTAGCGTGTCTCGGGAGCAAAGGCTGGGGCCGGTGTGGGTGCGCGGGCGGGTGACCCCACCTTTAGGGAAGCCGGCTCCCTGTTCTTCCACGCCATCGCCCCGGCTGACCCCCGCCCCCTCCCTTTCGTCCTCGCCTCTCCTCCCTCCTTCCCCCCTCCCTGCCTCTCTCCCTCTCTCCCAGCGCGTCTCCTCTGCACCGGCCCCCGCGGAGAAGCCAGGCGGCAGCACGGGAGTCGCCGCAGCCTCTGCGCGCAACGCCCTCGCCCGTGCCCCCCGGTCTCACGTAGCCCGAGCGGCGGCGCCGGCAGCCCCGGGCCCGCGCTACGTGCCCCGCGCCCGGCCTGGCTAAACTGACCTGTGCCCGGCTGGGGCGCCGTGGGAGGCTGGGGAGGGAGGGAGGCGAGAAAGCGGACACGGAGACGCAGGGGCGGCGGTGCCGAGGGGACGAGCTGCGCACCTGGAAAGTTACCGTTTGTCTGGTGAGGCTCGCGGGCTGGGGGCTCGGGCACCGAGGGGCGCCGGGGGGCCGCGGCCGGGGTCCGCGCGGGTGTCGGCTGGGCGTGCAGTGCGTGCGGTGCGCCTCCGTTCCACACCCAGCCGCTCTCGTGCCTGTGTTGCTGGCGTGTGGACGTGTGCACGCGGTGCGTTCGCTCGGGGTGGCAGCCAGCAGGGAGCTCCGGGAGGCAGGGGGAGGCTACTGGATTTCCAGAAGCTCGGCTCCGGGCGGGAGGGGCGAGCTCAGCCCGGGTGGGGAGACGTCAGGTTCTCATTCCTTTAGCCCCGGCGGCCGGGGAGACTGCTGCTCCGGGCTAGGGGCTTGGCAGTGCTCTCAGGGCGTGCGCTCCCGGCTTCGCTTCGCCGAGCTACGGGGAGCTGCTAGGAGACGAGGACTTGGGCGAGGACTTGTAAACTTGTGTGGGTGTCCTGTGTCACTCTCGGCACCGTGAGGCGCTTTCACATTTCTCGCTCTGTTTTTCCTGGTGAAGAAGCAAGAGTAAACAAACAAACAAAAACCAATCCGTCACTTTGGGGATGAGAGAAAAAGCAAGGGGTTCAAGTTTGAGAAGAACTAGGGTACGGATGCATAGCAGTTGAGACCCTGCAAAGGCACAACGCAGGCAGAATGAACAGGTAGAAAGGATGAAGCTCTGGTCTTCCTCTCGTCGCTGCAGTTCCCAGGGGCTTCTCTATAAAGGAAGAGAGCAACAGACACCTGCCTGCGCTCCCCACCCCGAACGGTGCCTTAGAAATTGTTGTCTCTTTTCTTTGCAAGTTTCCATTTAACTCTTGGAGAAGACGATTACCTACATAACACACAGTAGGTGTTGCCAGTACTACTGTTCAGTTTTACGCAGGAGGATAGGCGCTAATATGGTGGAGAATTATCTTTGGAGAATTAGAGGCCATCGTCTCCATTGGAACATTGTGTAACTAAGAATAAACGACATAAAAAGATGGTACACAGAGATCTTTCTCTTTTACCTGAAATGCTCCATTTCAGTCCTCTGAAATCCTTACAAGTGAGGGCTAATTCACCTCACAGTGAAGGCGTATGTTGCCTGGATGCTGCCCAAGTCTTTTGAGCCCGTATTGTCTTGCTTCCTCTAGGCTGTTTTCCTATCAATTATCCCCTCTTCTCCTATGTTTTCATTTTCTCTATATTCACTGATTCATTATTTAGGGCTTACAAATACTCTCAAGTTTTCACTATTCTAAAAATCCACTGCATGAACCATGGTACCATGTTGAAGTCTCTGCTCTCAGTGTCAGCTCTTCTCACCGTCCTTTGTAATCCGGTTTCTATCCCAACTCTTCTGTGAAAGGCCAAATTCAGTATATTTCCCTCATGTGCTTTAATATGTCTCTGGGATGTGAACTGCAGCTTGCTCACCTCTTGAAAATCTTATCTTTATGGTTTCCAATGTACTTCTAGATCTCTTATTGTACAACTGTTCCTTCACTGCTTTTATTTGCATCTCCTCCCCCTCTTCTCCTATAAATAATATCCACAGGTACCATCTAAATGTACATACGTAACCATAGAGGCATTCCTTTCTTTTTTTCCCTCAGTGATCTCATCTACTAGTGGGACTTCAGTTCTTACCTATGAAGTGTTCACTTGCCTTGACCTTTCTTCTTTGCTGCCATGTGTTAGACATTTTCACCTTGATGACTCATAGGCACCTCAAAGTCAACAAATATAAATCCAAATTCATCACTTTTTCCATAAAGCTTGCTTATTCTCTTGACTGTGGTCAGTGTCACAGTGCCTAACCCAACGATGGTGCTCTATTCATTTTTAATGAATGAATGAGTTCATAGTACTGCCTTCCTTCCTCCCCGCCTGCCAAGATCAAAACATTGGAATCTTTTTTGACTCCCCTTTTGTGTGCACCCACTTAATTACCACATTTAGAGATTCTGCCTCTGCAGTATTACTCCCACCATCTTGTCTTATACAGTTAATCCCTCCACATCCTTTCTCTAACACGATAGCTTCTTCTTAGCATCTCTAGTTTTTCTCTCAAACTTCATATAGACCTAAACACTTTTCTTCTCTTCATTGCCAATCTAATGGGCACTTTTATCTACTTCTTCAGCTTCAACCTTTACTTATGATTGCTAGGTATTTTCAGCTCCCCCTTTTTGATTTTCTAGTCCCTTGTTTCTTACTGCCTACTGAACTTCTTGACCTTAAACTTTCCACAGTTTCCTCAAACTGTCCAAAATTAAACTCACTGTCATATCCCTCAAATCTGCTCCTCAGTTTGGTTAATGACATCTTCTCTTACCCAGTTGCCACAGTGGAAACTTCCCGATCTTTGTCTTTCTTCTTAACATCACTCAAATTCCATTAGCTACCATCTCTGGACCTACACCTATATAATTACATTTCTGTGTGTTTGCCTCCTTATCTGCTACTATGGCACCCCAAAATAGCTGAATGGAATGCCACTACATTTGGCAGTGAACATATGGGATATGTGGCATTTATAAGACTCACTGTAAACATTCTGCGGGGTGTGTTTTAGGGCGCCATTACAAGGAGATAGCCTCAGGAGTAGCTGAAACTTTGGTACAATAAAAGCTCATATGACTGCCTGACAAGAGAGAATTACTCCACAAATTAAAATTCCATAGACAGAGAAAACAAGCAGTAGATTCAAAACCGAGCCCAAGGTCAACAGTCACAAGGTCAGATGGACAGATGCTTTTAATTGTAGAATCAATATGAAATTGAGCTGTTTCTCACAAGGACAACTCTTTGTGGTTGCTTCAGGGAGGAGCAGCAGGGGTTTATATACTCAATGATAGTTAATTATTTTCTAAAAGACATTTGGTGAGACAAAGTTAAGAGTAACACCAGATGCATCGGTTTCATATGTACTTAGAAAACTATCTCGAGAAGGCTGTGTCATTCATTTGACTTCAAGCTAACCTGCCCATATCATGAAAAAGAATCTATTCTACTTTTCATGATTTATTGAAGGGAAGGAAATTGCAGAGTTGCCTATAGCCATAGCTTTTGCCAGATGCCCTATGATATTGTTTTTCTCTTTTGGAAATGGCTACCATGGAAATGGTTCATTTTTTCTTGAGTTCAAGATATTAGAATAGGGTTGGGACGCTTTCTGATGTTAACCCTGTTCTCATCCTCTCTTACTTGGATTGGTGCAGTAGCCTCTTATTTTGTCTTTCTTCCTCTAAGCTCTTTTCACTCCATTCCATATTTATTGCCAAAAAAAGTTGTTTATTTTTCTAAAGGACAGATCTGACCATATAACTTGAAAACAACTTGACCTACACTAAAATCCAGATACCGTAAATGGCAAATGAAATTTTTCAGTATCTCATTCTATTATCTTACTTTTTTAGCTTCACTTCTCATCACTCTCCTTCACCCATCATACATTTCAGCCTGTTCCTTAAATATGCCATCAGCTTTCTTGTGTTCACTCCTAGTACATGTTTTGTTTTGTTTTGTTTTTAATTAATAGAATTTCTTTTTTCAAGCAGTTTTAGGTTTACAGAAAACTAAGGTGAAAACTATGGAGAGGTTCCATAGTCTCCCCTTCCCTTTCCTATTCTTAACATCTTGCATCAATGTGATACATTGATGGGCCAATATGGAAAAATTATTAACTGAAGTCCATAGCTTACATTAGAGATCATTTTTTTTTTGTTGTTCAGTTCTATGGGCTTGGACAAATATATAATGACATGTATCCACCATAACAGTATCATACAACATAGCTTCACTGCCCCCAAATTCCCCTGTACTCCACCTATTCATTCCTTTCTCCCTCTCCCCAATCTCCTGGAAACCACTAAACTTTTTACTGTCTCCAAGTTTTGTCTTTTCCAGAATGCCATATAGTTGGAATCACAAAGGATGTAGGTTTCACAGATTGGCTTCTTTCACTTTGCAATATACATTTAAAGTTCTTCCATGTCTTTTCAGGGCTTGATAGTTATTGCTTCTCATCACCAAATAATATTCCATTGTCTGGATGTGTCACAGTTTGTTTATCCAGCCGTCCACTGGAGGATGTCTTAGTTGCTTCCAAGTTTTGGCAATTATGAGTAAAACTGCTGTAAACCTCTGTGTGGGCCTGTGTTTTCATATCAGTTGGATAAATACCAAGGAGCATGGTATCTCATTGTTTTAATTTGAGATTCTCTAATAACATAGGATATTAAGCATCATTTCATATCCTTGTATGTCATGTGTGTATCTTTTCGGTGAGGTGGTTGTTTAGATCTTTTGCCCATTTTGCAGCTGGATTGTTCTTTTTCTTGTTGTTGAATATTAAAGAGTTCCTTGTATATTTTGGATAGTAGTCTTTTATTAGATATGTGTTTTGCAAATTCTTTCTTCCAGTCTGTGTCTTGTTGTTTCATTTGCTTAACAGTGCCTTTTACAGAGCAGAAGTTTTTAGTTTTATTGAAGTCCGACTTATCGATTTTTCCCTTCATGGATTGTGCTTTCAGTGTTTTATCTCAAAAGTCATCACCAAACTCAAGATCACTTCCGTTTTTTCCTGTATTGTCTACTAGCAGTTTTATAGTTTGTGTTTTACATTTAGGACCTTGATTCATTTTGAACTAATTTTTGTGAAAGATGTAAAGTCTGTTTCCAGATTCTTTTTTTTGCATATGGATTCCCAGTTGTTCCAGTACAATTTGTTCAAAAGGCTATCTTTTCCCCATTGAATTGTATTTGCTCCTTTGTAAAAGAACAGTTGACTAAATTTTTGTGGGTCTGTTTTTGGTCTCTCTTCTGTACCATTGATCTATTTGTCTATTCTTTCACCAGTACCACGTTTTCTTGATTGTTGAAGCTTTATGGTAAGTCTTGAAGCCTGGTAGTATCAGCACTCTAACTTTGTTCTCCTATAATGTCCTGTTACTTTAGTACATATTTTTTGATCAATAAGTTTTTCCACTAAAATGAGTTGTTTTATTGGCTAAGTAATGTTAACAGTAATAACAATAATATTTAATGCACATTGAACGCATACTATACGTCAAGCCCTGTGCTAAATGCTTATCATGGTTTATCTCATTTAACCCTCTAACAATTCTAAATGATATGCAACATTATTTTATCTATCTGTCAATCTATCTATGTGTCTATCCACCTCTTCTATTATTCACATTCATGCCCAATGTCAAGGCCTAGGGCTTATAAATACTAAGTGAAAGTGCTTGGATTGGGACTCTGGCTCTATAACATTAGCCAGCACTATACCATCTCCTGTATGTATAGATATATATATGTCAGAATCCAGACGGGTAGAGAGAAAAATAGATACTATCTAGATCAGAGCCAAGATTTTGGTTTCAAACTACTTTAGAGCTGGAGGAAAAACAGACAACAAAGGCTAATTCCTCCCACATTGGCTGTCAGGCGTTAGTCTGCCTGCAAGAGCGTCCACAGTCAGTTTTGCTTTTCCTGTGTCTTTTCTAGTTACCTCTTGTATATGACATTTCCTAAATCATGATTAAATTAATGTAATAATAATTTATAACTTTATACAATTTTCCTCTCTTTTGCTAGATGCCACTGCTCATTGTATTCCTCGCTCCTGTCCCTGGCTGCAGAAGAATATCCCCTTCAAAGTGAACCATGTTTTTTGTTGCCTTTGAAGATTATTAGGTGGGCCCTTTTGGTTTAAGGATTTCAGTGTAATATGTGTAAATAGATAGAGGCTACATAAGGGAATGACAAAGGAGGAGTCCTTGCAGTCCTGGAACCTGGGCTGCGTTGCTTATGAAACTTTCTGGTCGTCATCTATTGGTGGGGCTTTGCTTAACTGGGAGGGTTTCCCAGGTTGTTAGTCCCAGAATGACTTTTTGTCTTAATGAAGACAGAGTAAGGATACCCCTCTCCCCTGCCCCCAATAATTTTCATCTTTAAAGACCTCTTGTCCGGAAGACATCCAGTCTACTAGACTTCTTCCCCACCCAGTAATGATGCCCTCTGGGCATTTCCTCATACCAAGTCACTTAGTGCCTTGCTAGTCACACACTATAAATGCTACTTGGTGTGTACTACATGCCTGACAATGCACAGGATACCTTACAAACATAATCTTCATAATAAATCTATGAGATGGGCATAATTATATCCACTTTCTAGATTAGAAAACCGAGGATTCTAAGTAATTTGTAGAAGGTAACACAGCTGGGAAAAGGCAGATTGTTTTTCTACCCTGGCTGGCTTGACTCCATTGCTTATGTCAAATCCTGATCTTCGTCTCCATGCTCATTTCTTATTACTTCACTATACATTGAAAACAAACAAACAAACTCATAGAAAAAGAGGTCAGATTTGTGGTTACCAGAGGTGGTGGTGGTAGGGGGGATTGGATACAGGCAGCCAAAAGGTACAGATGTCCAGTTATAAGATAAATATTAGGGATGTCAAGTACAGTATGATACATATAATTAACACTGCTGTGTGTTATATATGAAAGCTGTTAAGAGAGTAAATCCTGAGCTCTCATCACAAGGAACAATTTTTTTTCTATTTCTTAAATTTTGTATCTATATGAGATGATGAACGTTCACTAAACTTATGGTAATCGTTTCATGATGTGTATACATCAAATTATTTTGCTGTACACCTTAAACTTATACAGTGCTATATGTCAATTATATTTCAATAAAACTGGAAGGAAAAATATCCTGATCTTTATCTCCAAGCTCATTTCTTATTACTTTGCATGCTGTTCTCTGATTACAAGAATGATTCTAAGAACCTATAGTTGCTAGATTGATGGAACAAAATCCTGTGGTTCAGTTGTGACTGGCAATACATATTTGAGAAATAGCTTGTCTCTCTTAGTGACTGATGCAGACAGGAAACAGAGGGAGTCTAATTAGGTTTTATGAAGCCAGACACTCGAAGCCTTGGCTTGAGGGACACCAGAATTGAAAGGGGTGAACTAAGTAAGAAATCAGACTTAGTATTGAGTCATTCAGTAGTCCTTACATATCTTAAATTAGCGACTTGAAAGATGGGTTAGTTAGTCTCATTTCATCCCTCTTTAGAATTCTAAATAGCTCGAAAGATTTATTCAGCTTCCAAACTGACTTCATTAAAGCCAGAGAATAGCTGGTGTTTTGGGAGAATTTAACCACCTCTGCCTAATTGTGTTTCAGGTTTGTAAAATTATTGGATTGGTACAGAATGTTTTGACTACCATACATAGAGCAAAAATGATTCTAAGCCTTTTCATATTTAGAATGCTAGAAGTCTTCTCTGTGTCGAATTTGACTGCAAATTCATGGAGCTATGCCCCTGGTATAGTACATGACACTTAGTTTGGTCTTAGTAAACAATTGTTCTATGAATAAAGAATGAGTTGTTAGATTTTAAAATGTTTGTGCTTACTTTTGTTCTTTATAAGGCAATTTCTTTTCTTCCACCCATTCCCCTCCCTCTATCCTGCCTTGGATTAGGAATGCTTGCCCATGAACCAAAAAAGCACATCTAGGAGATGTCTCATTGCTGCATGTTAAAACTTGTGCGCACATGAATTTAAGATCCCTTTGGGGGTACCCTTCTCATGCCTGTCATTCAGAATCTCATTCAAGTTTATTCTCAGGTCCCAATCTAATATCTTCTGAATTGCTTATTCAGGCTACCACAGTGTCCTGGGCCACTTCTTTGAATTCTAGTCTCCTTAACCTTTTTATATATTCCTAATATATAGGAATAGTAAATGCTGCCGAGTCAACAGAAACTTAAATGTTAAACCTGCCACATCTCTGCAACATATTACGGCAGTTCCCTGGAGGCTAATGTTTATTAACGACTACTTTGAACCTGAATTCTATGAAGAATGTCTGGGTATTGCAAGATTACTTTTATAAGTGCATTTATTTTCTGTTTCTACCATCCATCTTAGGTGACCTGCATTGACTATTTGGTTGCATCAGTTTGAAACTTAGAGGCTGTTTATGTCTCTGTGTTCATGATGATTCCGGTAGAGCTAGTGAAATCAGTCTAAGCTTTTATTTCTCTGAGTTTGAAATTTGGGGAGAGAGAGGGCCAAGAATGTGTGAGATTTATAACTTCAAACTTCCATCTATCTCGTATTAGATAATAAGCGGTCATTCAAACTTAGTTTACAAGTTTCTTGGGTTATGGCTGTCAAAAATTACACGTGCAAAGGTATGAAATTTAAGTAGCTAGCTTAAAAAGACTTAAACCTTATGATAATTAATCAAAGCAGTATTTTCCAAACTTCAGCCTTTCAAGTTCTTTTTGATTTTGCTCGTATGTGCTTATTAACTGCAGATGATTTCTTTTCTATTTTCATTGAATTGACTCAGTAAATCTAACTATCTTACTGAACCTCAAACTTTTATGGTGCCAATTATTTATATTTCTAATGAATGTTAAAATAAATACATAGCTATTGAACTAAAAAACATTTTTAAAAAAATAAATTTTATTTATTTATTTATTTATTTTTTGGCTGCGTTGGGTCTTTGTTGCTGTGTGCGGGCTTTGTCTAGTTGCAGCGAGCAGGGGCCACTCTTCATTGCGGTGCGCGGGTTTCTCATTGCGGCGGCTTCTCTTGTTGCAGAGCACGGGCTCTAGGCGCGTGGGCTTCAGTAGTTGTGGCTCACGGGCTCTAGAGCACAGGCTCAGTAGCTGTGGCACATGGGCTTAGTTGCTCTGCAGCATGTGGGATCTTCCCGGACCAGGGCTCGAACCCGTGTCCCCTGCATTGGCAGGCAAATTCTTTTTTTTTTCTTGCGGTATGCGGGCCTCTCACTGTTGTGGCCTCTCTCATTGCAGAGCACAGGCTCCGGACGCCCAGGCTCAGCGGCCATGGCTCACGGGCCCAGCCGCTCTGCGGCATGTGGGATCCTCCTGGACCTGGGCATGAACCCGTGTCCCCTGCATCGTCAGGCGGACTCTCAACCACTGCGCCACCAGGGAAGCCCTGGCAGGCAGATTCTTAACCACTGCACCAGGGAAATCCCTAAAAAACATTTTTGAATCAACTAAAATCATGCCTCATAATCCCCAGTCTGCCTGTTACATCCTGAGACTCACTGGATTAGTAACTACTTTGGGGCCTACACTGAGGATATTCTTTACAGGAAAATAATACAGTATCGTACCATAGGTTGTCATTTTTTGGACAATCTTGGCTTTAGGATATAAAGTAAAGGATGTAGAAGAACCCCCATGCCTCTGTTTTACCTTCTGGTAACTGCCATCCAGAAGTTTGCAACAGCGAGCGTTGTCAGAAAAGCCAAACGTAATAGGCACACACGGCTGGAGAAAAGTGCTAATACAGCAACACCAACTGTGCCTCCTCTGCCCGAAGTGCAGATGTGTTATTTTCTAAACTAGGGGGAGGTTTCTTAGTGTAGCCACTCAGGGTGCTGTGAGAGTTGTGACATTAACAAGCCTCTGCTGCGGTAGCTGCAGCTGCTCGTTGGTGTTTTATCTTTGCCATGCTGACATCCGAATCGCAGTTGTGTTGTGATGCTTTTGACAGCTGTCCGGAGAGAACGACCAAAGAGAAGAGCAGGTAACGCAGGCCGTTTGTGCAAAATGCTTATTAGGTGGGATGCTTGGGCCAGCAAAGGGATGGGGAAGAACGAAACCAAGTGCCAGCTCCTCCTCATTGAGGGACAAAGGGAATCAATCCGTTGCTTTTCTTCTGGAAGCGTGGGGGAATTTATTGCTTACCCAACAGCGATGAGCACTGTGTTTCTCTTTATGAAACAGAGCGGATTGAGAGGGGTGGCGGTGGCGGTTGGGAAGTGAAACTCCACTAGGGAATCCCCAATTCTCTGCCCTCTCTCAGGTCCTTGAGCAAAATGGGAAATGGTTCCGTGAAACCCAAACATTCCAAGAATCCAGATGGCCACTCCGGGAACCTCACTACCAGTGCCCTCCGGAGCAAGGTGACAGAGCTGGAGAGAGAGCTGAGGAGGAAGGATGCCGAGATCCAGGAGCGGGAGTACCATTTGAAGGAGCTACGGGAGCAGCTGTCCAAGCAGACTGTGGCCATTGCAGAGCTCACGGAGGAGCTCCAGAACAAGTGCATCCAGCTGAACAAGCTTCAGGATGTGGTACACATGCAGGGAGGAAGCCCGCGTCAGGCGTCTCCGGATAAAGTGCCTCTTGAGGTCCACCGCAAGACCTCGGGATTGGTCTCCCTCCATAGCAGGAGGGGAGCGAAGGCTGGTGTGTCTGCTGAGCCCACCACCCGAACCTATGACCTCAACAAACCCCCTGAATTTTCCTTTGAGAAAGCGAGAGTCAGAAAGGACTCCAGGTAAGTTCCCACCCGCTTTTGGACTCAGGTGGCCTTAAATATTATGAAACATTAGAACGCTATTTATTGAGTCTCCTCAATGGAGAAGCGCATATTAACCCTTTCAGATTTTGGGATAGAGGGGCTTCTGAAAGGGTTTTGTTTTGCAACAGCGTCTCCCTTTAAGTAGAACTTCTCTTTAAAGCAGGACTCCTGCTTTACCTGGACTTTGATTTGTGATTTGCATAACTGAGGAACCGAGTTTACAAAAGTCATTTCTGTTATCTTGAAAACCCTAGGGGAGTGCAGAGGTGGTTCTAGGGAGTCTGCCCATCTCTCTTCCAAAGAAGTAGACTTAACGGGTGTACACAAATCACACTGAATTATGAATATGTATAGCAAAAGCCACTTCTTAGCACTTAGTCTGCAAGTGTCATGAAAAAGGGATAAGCTGATGCCTCTGAGGGGGGTGCATTCATTCATTCATCCCACAGTTTTAGTTAAGCACTGCCTTCTCCCAGCCACTGTGTTAGATGCTAAGTATATATCAGTGAATAAATAGACACAGAGCATTTCCTGTGGGAAGATAGTATACCCGGAAACAAGTAAACATTGTGTAATTATTAATTAAGATGAATGATATGATGAAACTGACAGTAGAGTGGGTGGTGTCTGGGATTAAGAGGGAGAGAAGGTCAAGGAGGGGACAGAATTGGGATTGTCATGGAGACCTGGTTGAGGAGGTGACCTTTAACTGAGACCCAAAGGAGAAAAAGGAGAATAGACCAGGTAGAAAGGGCACTCACTTCAGGCAGAGGGAACAATTAAAAGCTAGAATTAATTTTAAAAATAAGGATTTTTAAAAGAACATGTAAATATTTCCCACAGTATTCTTGTGTGTGTGTGTGTGTGTGTGTGTGTATGGGTACGTTTCTTTTCTGGCTCAAGTTTGAATTTCCTAACCAGGAAAGATTGATTAGAAACATTATGGTTAGGGTCTCCTTTCTGCACTATTTTTAAATGAGTAAATATTTATCAGTTGAAATTAGATCTTTTGCCTTGATAATGTCTTGGCTGAGCCTGGGTCCTTCTTGCAAAATCCAAGATTTGTGAAATTAAAACAACTTTAATTTATTCACACACATAAATAATATAAATCAAGATAAAACATTTGACTTAAACAAATAAATGATTAATTTTGATAACAGGATTATAAAGGGAAGTTTAATTCATCAATTTGTTGACAGTGCTTGGCACATAGTGAATGAGCAATAAATGTTTGTTAAGGAAACAAGTCATGCCGGATTATAAACGTATAATACTCTGTGGTTGAAAGAATCTGATTGACGTTAGAGTTCAGAAGACTTTTTTTAAGCCAAGAGTTTATTTATTAGTTGGCTTAGAAAGGTCTTCTGTATTCCCATTGCAAAAATAATAATTATTTATTTTTAATGGTGTGAATTCAGAAATTATAAATGTTGCTTATGAACTTACGCTTGTTTTTCAAAAATTGAACATCATAGTGTTCTCTTTTGATGTATAAGAGATATATGCACATATAATAATTGTATTATGCATTCTCTCTATATACGTACTATACACATACATATGTTATACATACTATATGTGTATACATAAGACAATATATTGTTTACCCACAAAAATTCTTTCAATAACAATGTGCTTATATATCTAGGAGAAGTGCGAGAGAATTTAATAGTAATTCATCTTCTTTGACCCTCTTCCTACATATTCCACCAGATTTCTCCTCTTGAATGAAGATTATTTTCAATTATTTTTTCCAAAGACTTATGCCCGTCTTGAGGCAAAACACTATTCTCCTGGTGTTAGGTAACAGAACAATCCAAGATAAGTACATTCTACTGTATTTTTTATTAGCTCTATTATAACGAGGTAGAGGAAATCAATAGCTAAGCACAGTTTTTTGGGCCAAACCATCTGTCTGTAGTGAGTGGGACACAGGAGAGGAAAGACATTACAGCCCTTAGAAGGATGGATGAATAAGGATGAGCAATGATTCCCCTCATCCATCATAAAGGCAGGCCCAGTGGGTACAAGTTTGTGTTGGGGATACAATGAAGAAATGGGATAACTGATTCCTTAATGATTAAATCCTAAAGAGACCAAATTAGATTATTTATGCCTTCATAATCCCTTTATGCTTTCATAGAGCCTTTTAGTTCTAAATTGAAAAGTTAATTAGAATATGGGAACCACTCTTTTGTCATTGACTGGTTTATGTCTTATTTCCCCTTGCAGACATTTGTACCTGAATTTTCCCTGCAATTTCCCTTACAAAATGTCTTTCCCCTTAAGTCTGGAATAAGTGGCTAAACGCAGATAACATCAATTCAGAGATTTAAAAATGTCCAATTCTTTGAAAGTGCTCAATATTACAATTCATTTTCCATTTTCAAATAGTTCCAGTTTTAGAGAAAGTCTGTAAGTAAAGTTTGGATAATTTATCCAAATATAAATTTTATACAGTCTTTATATACAGTCTTTATACAGTCTATCAAAAATTTTGGAAGAAAAAACTTTCTGGAAGTTAGAACATTAGAAAAGATGAGAGCACCATTCATTGATAAAAGGATAATGGACAGTGTCCATTGGTTTGGCTACTTTTCCAAGCAGTTCCTGTTAGATAGATATTAGAGAATTTAAGGTAACAGTCAAAATGGAGCCTTCATTTAGTTTTAGGTTCTCATGATTTATTTGTTGAACTTTATAAAGTTTCCTGGCTGACTTTATGAATAAATTTGTTTTTACTAATACGTGTCAACTACATTTTGGATCAGGTTCTCCCTCCACACTGGATCAGAAAGTCATTGAATGGTGTTTTAGTCTTTTTGTCAAACAGTATGTCTCTGATGAGTACTTACCAATGAGAAAGAAAGTGGGGGGAGATTCCAGCCCTCCTGCAATCAACAGCGTGGGGGAGATATGAAGTACTGAGAGAAACCAGAGAATAACATTTGGGGGGATGATAGATTTCGAATTTGAGGATCCAGATTCGGTAATTTATGAGAGACTCTCAAGCCCATGCCACCGCAGTCTGCGAGTTTGCTGAGGCCCCTGTGCTCAAATGTATTGTAAATGGCAAGTGAACCTCAGCAACTGCCAGGAAGCCCACTCATGCCATCTTTGTTGTCTTGTACCCAGCAAGTGTACTTGTAAGGTAGGAAGGGGGAGCTTAAATAGTATAGTTGCACCTCCCTGCTTTATTTGGAGGAACTTATATGCTCTAATGGCATTGGAGAACTCTTTTAATTTGTCTCTTGCAAAATTCAAGGGGCTACTTTTTAAGATCAGGTTCTAGAATAACTCAGTGCTGTTCAAGAGAATTTTCTGCAATGATGGAAATGTTCTAGAATCTGTGTTGTCTGATATGGTAGCCAACAGCAGAATGTAGCTGTTGAGCACTGGAAGTGTGACTAGTGCCCCTGAGGAATTGAATTTTTAATTTCAAGTTATTTTAAAATTAAATAGCCACATGTGTCTAATGGCCACTGTATTGGATACCACAGTTCTAGATTATGTGGTTTTGACTGTAACCGCTATCTTTTGAGGTGGGAATTGTGACCGTAGTGAAGTTTGAGAGAACTTACAGACAAAATAAGACCTGTGTTCGGTATTAGGACAATGTCACAGAAAATGAAAATGAGCCTGTCAGATTGAGGTGGGCACAATGTGGAATCCCTCTTCAGCTGAATGGAACCTGCAGTCTATCATAGCCTTTTGTAGGGACTTGGCTTTGTGCCCACTGACCATTTTAGATCTTCAGAAGCATACAACCATGTGGGCATGTAGCCCGTTTTATTATAGGTACTCAGCCTTTCTGAAGTATCATAAATCATGATGAGTCAGAGCATTCCAGTATATCAAATACTCTGATCCCTGATTTAATCTATTATAGTAACTATCAGAAGACTTTAGGGCTGGAAGAATCTTAGAGATTGTTTCACGCTTCTCCCCTATTGCAGAAGTGAGGAAACAGGTGCAGGGGAGTGGCAGAATAGGCCATGGTAAGTGGCAGAGCTAAGATTAGAACCCAAGATTGACTTTGAAACCAGTTCTTTCCCTCTACAATCCCAAAAACAGTTGCGCAAAGACTGGATTTGCCTCTGGGTAGGTGTCAAGCCAAAAGACACTACCAAACCAAAGAGCAGGAGAAGGAAGGATTTATTACCTGCAGCAAGTAAAGAGAACACTGAAGATATTTCCCAAAGTAGTATGTCCCTGAACAGCAAAATTGGGAAAGTTTTAAGCTAAGGGTACATGCATATTTATGAAGGGGCTTGGGCATTGTATGCATATTCATGGAGGAGAATTCAGTGTAGAAGTGGGGCAAAGACTGACAGAGTCCTGGCTCTAGTTGACTGAAATCAATAAAGGTCAGCATGATCATTCCTTAGGTTCCAGTTAGTCGGGTGGTTGAGTGCTTGAGGGAGTTTTGGATCCTGCAGAATAGCTCAAGAATATGCTTCAGACTGATCTTTATCTTTGAAATAGAACTGGGAGTCTTTACAACTGACTTATTGTCTCCAATATGGTTATTTTCTGGCCTGATCAAGAGCAAGCATTGTGGCCAGACTTAGATCACAAAATGGCTTAGGCCTAAAATGACTTCTCTTATGTCAAGAAAGATATGTCTGGTTCTCTTCCTCTGGGGGTCCCCCACCCTACCTACCTATACCAGTGTTCTTAACCCACAAAGATCAAAGGGCTCAAGTCAGGTTAGTTTGGGCACCAGTCTGCTTTATTTTGATACACTGTATTGGTTGGTAGGAAGAACAATGCTGCTTCCCAACTTCTTCCAAGCAGAGTTGAGCAGAGCTTACCCATTTCATTAATATTCACCAAGTGCTACATCCTGAGAGCTCAGACCTGTGTGAAAAGGACACAGAGAATGGATTTGATCCATCTGATGGTACAGACTGATATATATGGAGGGGCACGAATGGGTTCTGAAACAAGTACAGAGCTTCTCAGGGCTGAGA